GAATGATGTATTTCTAGCACCAGCAAAGAAATGCAGAGATTTCACTCAAGAGCTGGAAGCAGTTTCCCTTTCAGACTAAAACCTAAATTCTAAAGTGATCAGATGATTCGTAATTATTTCAAGAAGGAACGGCTCATGAAAATAACTGTCTGTGCATGTTAGTCAAGAGCTGCACGAGGTACCCCCATAGCCCAGGACATGAGCCCCACACAATGGCTGCACTATTTTGTGGCTACAGTTTGTGTATTGAAACACGGCAGGCAGCTGTTCCTGGGGCAGTTGAAATTAACTTAGGGAAAGAGATTTGCAATACAGTAACTGTTTTAAAAAGCCTTTGTGCCCAAGGAAATACTATATATGTGTACATAATCGAGCATCTGCTCTCAAAATGAATCTTAATAGACCTTTCAAAAACCTTGTTTGGCAGTTGGCTTTATGTTCTTGCAACATGAGTGAACTCTTGCACCCTGTACATGGCCATTTAAGGTCAACATGATTTTCCTCCCCCCACCCCACCTTTTTTTTTGTTTTGTTTAGATGTAAGTCATTGTTACAATAACTTTAATAGAGTGTGCTTTTCACTTGTTCCCAGTTTTTGGCTCTAAAATACTTGAAAGATGACGGTCATGCTGATCCAGCTCCCGGACCTGGAATTGGGCCACAGCCCCCAGGGTCGCGCCCTGCGCTCCCCTCCGCCTGCCTACCGTGGACTCCCACAAAGTGAGTCAGCTGCGGGCCTTCCTGAAAATGTATAAGCAGGACCCAAGCGTTCTGCACACCGAGGAGATGCGCTTCCTGAGGGAGTGGTTGGAGAGGGTGTGTGGTAAAATACCACCTGCTACTCATAAAGCAAAAGCAGAAGAAAATATCAAGGAAGAAAACACAGATCATATGAAGACAGAAGAAAACATAAAGGCAGATGAACCATCAAGTGAGGAAAGTGACCTAGAAATTGACAATGAAGGTGTGATTGAACCAGATACAGATGCCCCTCAAGAAATGGGAGATGAAGCTGTAGAGATAACTAAAGAGATGATGGATCGGGCAAATGACAAGAAAGTGGCTGCCATTGATGCCCTAACTGATGGTGAACTACAGAAAGCTATTGATCTATTCACTGAGGCCATCAAACTGAATCCTCGCCTGGCCATTCTTTATGCCAAGAGAGTCAGTGTCTTCATCAAATTACAGAAGCCAAATGCTGCCATCCAAGACTGTGACAGAGCCATTGAAATGAATCCCGATTCAGCTCAGCCTTACAAGTGGAGAGGGAAAGCACACAGATTTTTGGGCCATTGGGAAGACGCTGCACATGACCTTGCCCTTGTTTGTAAACTGGACTATGATGAAGACGCTAGTGGAATGGTGAAAAAAGTTCAGCTGAGGGCCCAGAAATTGCAGAACATCGGGGAAAGTATGAGGGAAAACATGAAGCGCGAGAGATCAAAGAAAGAATAGAATGAATTAAGAAAGCCCGTGAAGAACATGAACGTACCCAGAGATGGGAAGAAGCTAGCCAACAATCAGGAGCTCAACCTGGCTCCTTTCCAGGTGGCTTTCCTGGGGGGATGCCTGGTAATTTTCCTGGAGGAATGCCTGGAATGGGCGCGGGTATGGCTGGGATGGCAGGAATGCCTGGGTTCAATGAGATCCTTAGGGATCCAGAGGTTCTGGCTGCCCTGCAGGATCCAGAGGTTCTGGTGGCGTTCCAGGATGTGGCCAAGAACCCAGCAAATATGTCAAACTACCAGAGCAACCCTAAGATGATGAATATCATCAGTAACTTGTCAGCCAGATTTGGAGGTCATGTATAATGCTGTTTGACAAATAAAGCCCTTACTGAAAAGCAAGCTAGAGCATTTAATGGATGTCGCAATAATACAAACCAGTGTACCTCTGACCTTCTCATCAAGAAAGCTGGGGTGCTGCGAAGACCACCCTTACCCTGCAACTCCAGTGCTGCTGGACATTTTACAGTTGTTTTTCATTAGTGTATTCATTCAGATCATGTTTTCCTTTTAGGAAGTATAAATCTTAATAATACCTGAAGCACAAGGGTGCATTAATGCCTACATTTTTCATTACTAATCATTTTGGTTTTGTTTCTTTGAATTGGTTGGGTAAAAAGATAATGTATGGAATATTTATCACTAATGAGCAAAATTAAGGCTTACCAACAGAAACAAATACAGGTCATTTAAACGGGTGCAAATGAGATACATAAATGGCAACTTGAGGCATATCGATTTGTCCTTTTAAGTGCTTTATTTCTTCCGAAATCGGTTGATTTCAATGATAAAACTTGGGACCTCACCTGTATTGTGGAAGGACCTCTGTAGGGACTGGGGGTGGTTGGCAGGTTGGCAGTGGTCAGGCTACATTTTAAGTCAGATGAGCCCTTTTGCAGGTAACATGTACATCTGACACTGGTGAAGGGATGGTTTCTGTAATGCTGCCGTGAAGTTGGCTTGCTTACTCTGTTCTTATTCAATGTATAAAATAAAAGTTTCAGATTATTTCCACATAGGGGGAAAAATACTTAAAGGACATATTTCATTGACCTAACAAAGTAGTTTTCAAAAAAACAAAAAAACAGTTGGGTGTGTGGAGGGGTCCTGGGGTGGGATAATCATTGCTGCTTCACTCATGCAAAATCTCTCTCCACCATGAGGTCCTGCAGCAAAATTTCCCATTTGTGAGCCAGCCAGAGTGCAGCACAGCACTGACAGAACACACAACATTCCTGTAGTCTTTAAATGCTTCCTCCCCGCTACTACCGTGACATGAGTTCTACCTTAGAAATCCAGCTAGACCGGTACAGACACTGGTACAGATAAGAGTTCTCGACACACAGAATGCAGGACAGATTAAAGTCCCCAGGAACAGTAGTGGGAGTAGCGATATCATGAGGGTAGGAGGAAGATAATGGGGAGAAAAGGGGAACCAATTGCAATGATCGATGTATAACCAAC